CCTTCCCCTGTACCTCCGATTAGCACGGTTGGCTACGTACGGTGCGAAAGAAGTTCAACATACATACATACAAGTTAAACACGTAGGCTTTCGCGACTAATATCTTTCATAAGGTTTTTTCGTTTGGGTTATATTGCGTAAATATATAAATGTGTCATTAAAACTCGCCACCACCCGACACAGCCAACTAAGTAAGGGTTGTCACGTAAACAGAACGTGGTCAATTCGTCACGAGTACAGCACACCGGTGTGTTGGAGAGCCAAGCCACAACATTTACAATCTGAATACGACGTTTCGCCAGTAATTGCAACCAGCTTCACCAGGCGTCAGCCAGATTTGTGGAGAAGTCCACCTATTTCGTTCCTTATCTAGAGGCGTAGATGTGGTGACCACGCTTCTGCACTCTTGTGCAAAATGGGGGGGGGGATTAATGAGTCAACGTTAATTATGCATGCGCATTATTGGAGCCCTTTGATCTTGCTTTTCCTGTCCATTGTGTATGAAAATAGCCGTACCAACCGTAAATAGCCGTACCAACCGTACTAATGACGAATTGGCCACGTTCTGTTTACGTGACAACCCTTACTAGTTGGCTGTGTCGGGTGCTGACGGGTTTTAAACGACACATTTATATATTTACGCGATCGAACCCAAAAAAAACCCCTCTATTATACGTACGTACTGTGCGGCGTTTTACAAGTTGAAATTATTGCAAGCCCTTAGTTTTGCAAAAGCAATCACCACGAATCTTCTCGACGACCCTATAATGCCACAAACGAACAGGCCACGCCAGCGGTACACTAACAACCCACGTGCTGAATAACTGATCGCTTTTTATGCGAGTGGAAACATTGACCAATGGGGGGGGAGGGGGAAGATGTGAATTATGAGCCAGTGCACTTCACTGCGAGGCCGTCAATGGCTTTTGGTGAAGCAATAACAAGAGCAGCCGTAGTTGATTTAAAAATGAAATAAAACACTGACCTCGCCAAGGATCGCGTTCCATGGAAATACTCCACAGTCAGGCACAAACTTAATATCGCGTTGAGGACCGCGTCACATTAGTGGCGCTTAAACGTTACAATTTTAAAAGCCGCGATCGAGCGGACGGTAAAAGAACTGAACACCTGTTCTCGCGGATAACTTTACTTTTCAACAAGCCATAATGTTCCACGGGAGATACATTGCGTATGTGCTGGATATGTTGGCCAATATTCCACTCGTGTCTCATTCCATTACGCTGCCTTTCATCAGCGCAACGTGGAATTAAATTAGCAAGCGGAAACATTGGGGGAGTGAATAGCTTCGGTTTCTTGAGGACTTTTATGAAACACCTTGAGAGCATTTCGCATTTGTATGGCTTTAAATCCCTCACGAAACTCTCAGCATTTAATAATATTTTATAACATCACGCAACATACCAGCTACATCAATATTTTGACCATAAATGATAACACATTCATGCCATGCAAATGTCTCTGAAGCCCAAGCCGTGGAAAATCGTACAAGAAAATGTACAATTAAACTATCTGGCAAAGAATGTGGGAACATGCACACAACAAAAGAACGAGGCCTGTAGATAGATGGCCATATTGAAAGCCAATATAAATGCTAATTACTCCATAATGAATCAAGCATATGGCTTCACGAAGCAGCTATCTGAACACCTTCCAAAGGCAGAGGAACACAATTTGGAGAGTTCAAACGTGTGTTCATCATGGGGGGCACGATTGTGACTGGCACGCTGACACACTGTGGCATAATCTAACAATAATGTCAAACATCTCTGCAGCATTCACTTGTGTGACAGTCGGTGCAAATTGATAATCCCCCGCTGAACGTTATAAGGCGGATCCAAGAATTGGAACGTTAGCTTTGTGTAAACTGGTTCAGCGATGAGCGCGTTAAATGCTCAGTGATCAGACTTGCGAGTCGCAGTTTCCAAGTACTACGGGAGGCTGGAAATACTGGAGGGGGGCCCTGAGTGGGGAAACTAAAGCCAAACCCTGCAAACTACCATATACCCCCTCACAATTCAGCGCAATACCCTATCCAAAAACGACACCCTATAGGGGTAGTGCTTAGACGCACAATCTATGATTGTGTGTCTTTATTGCAGTCGAGAGAGCCCAGGGCCAAAATCCACGCGCAATGCGTGACATTTAGGCCGCCCTGGCAGGTAGTTTCTTGCCCTGCAAAAGTAGTGCAGTTTATTTATTAAATGTAGTTCTGCAGCAGGTATTGGTGCCCGATCAGTCTTTACAGTGGAGGGCTAACAGCGACTTCGGGGAGGGAGGGAGCGAGGCAGGGGTTGTCACCTCAGTGTGCGCGTGGCGGCGGGGGGGGGGGGGAGGAGACACTCCACATCAAAAAGGTCGTCAATCCGGTGACAACTTGCCTCCGCCGCGGCCGTGCGTCACATTCAATACCACGCTAAATATAAACCGGGGCAACACGGGTCGACTCCCATCACCCAGTTGGGTGACGCCGCAGTAAAAGAGCTAAAACTCGCCGCCGTGTTTCATGTGTGTATGTTGTACTGCTGTGATTTCAATGGCAGGTCGGGTGTCGCCAAAGCACATCGTCGCACGCACAAACACCGTCCTGGTGGAACTCGCCAGCGTTCATCCTGTCCATCGACTGGGCCCCCCGCGGATTCGCCACTGGCTCACAGCCGCCGAGGAAAGTTCAGTGCTGCCCCCATTGCCCGTTTGAGTTGGAAGATGCTTTGACCTCTGGCTTCTTGAAATGCAGCCGAGTTCATTAATTCCGCAAGGCCTTGGTGCCAGGTTTAGGGAATGCCCTTGTGCCCTTGTGCCCTTGTGCCCTTGAGCCGAACGTGCAGGCTCCTGTGCCACGTGCGGCGCTCCTCCACACGACCAGTGCAGATGCAGTCGTGTGCTATATCGTGCTACGGCATTTTTCGACAGCACGCAGCATTCACATCTCACCGCTGTGAATATGCCTTTACTGTGGAGTGAAAATATATACTGCATATGTTACGTGAACCCAGAGTACGTTGTATTGTGTTAAAACAGCAGTTAAGCGAGTTATGCAGATAATAAATAATTCCCCATTACTATGCCTCAGGCATTGACAATAAACCCTAAGAATCTTAAATGCGCCCTAGATCTGGCTCAGGAATCCTCATGGTATCATAGTCTGCCTCTGCAAGCCTTGGTATTATACTCTTTGGTTCTATTCGGCAAAGTCACGTAGGTAAAAAATTATTACCTACCTATTTACCTACGTGACTTTACCGAATAGAACCAAAGAGTATGAATCCTTGCAGTCACGAAAGCTTCAAATCTAGAATTGAGCCTTAGTATTCATGTCTGCGAGGCGATGTTAAATCCTAACACCTTTCTAAGCAGCAGGCACAACTTATCAATAGAGATATGCATTAATACTGGTAAAGCGGTATGTGCAGATACAAGATATTGCACCGATGTAGTTTTACGTACACTACATATGTATGAATGTTGAACTTCTTTCATCCCGTACGTAGCCGTGGAGAGTCATGAACAACAGCCCTTGGATGATGTCAAAAAGTGCGCAGTTAAACCTTCACGTTGCAATAAATACATCGCGGCTCCAGGTGCTGAAATGGCACAGAGACACACACGCAGGTTCCTGCACCTACACCTGTGCGCCCGAAGCAGAGTTTGCTGAGGCCTCACACGTGCTTGCAATCAAGCGTGGAATGCTGAAATATTCCGGTGTTAAAAAAAAACACTGTGTGTCTCTCTCGCCAGCGACAGCCTTTGATCCGAACCCCTAAGTGTTATATCATCATTACCATCGAAGTCGTCGTCTTCTTCTTCTTCTGCAGACAAAGGCACTGCCTGAAGGAGGTTTGGACCAAAACACAGTGACTTCCCCCTTTCCTGCTAATCACAAGGGTTACGAGTAATTCAATAATTGTGGGGCAATTTTCAGCATTTGGCCCATGGCAGATAAACAGTGTCATGTGATCATGTCTACAATGGTGGTAAACATAGGCATTTAATAATGCATCGACTTAGCAATTTAAAATTATTCTCGAGCTCGTGTGTATGAAAATCCATTATCTACCGTTTCAGGAAGTCAGGAGAAAATGCTGTCCCTGTGTGTTACGTTCAGGGTGATGGAGCAAACGAGATTGAGTTGACCAGACAAAACGAATACAAACCGAGACAAAATAAATGTGACTTGGCTCATTCTTGCCTTCATCACATCCTGACATGAGTTCTGCAACTACTCCACGGCCTCCCTAAACCCCTCATCAACAACCTCCAGATGTTCCAACATTCTGTTGCCAGATTTCTCACCTGCGTCCGTAAGTGAGCCCACATCGCCCCAACACAGGCCCCCTCCAATCCCGCCATTGGCTCCCAATACCATCCTGGATCAATTTAAAAAATTGTGCTCACCATCATCAAGACCCTCCCTGGACTCGACCCATTTCACCTCTCCCTTTCATCTCACTCTACTCCCCTCTACACACACCCTCCACTCCCGTAATAAAGGCTTTCGATCGAAGCCCCCCGCCAAGTACCGTTCAGGAGGAAGACTGCTCATTCTCTTCTGCTGTCCACATCATATGGAAGCTCCCCTCCCCCCCCTCCAAAAGTGATCCGTGCCTGTTGACTCTCTGCCCTTAATGAATCCAGGTTCAAGACGTTGCTTATTTCCTCTCTGTCTATGAAGCCCTCTCAGTTTCTGTACAGCATCTTGAGATGCGGTTGCATTCAACCGCTTTATAAATCCACATTGAAACTGCGTGAATGATGCTCAAGGAGATGCTGAGAGCGGTGGTAATAATGGCGTCTGTAATGGATGTTGGTGGTCGTGGTCGTGGTGGTGGTGGTGGTGGTGACATTGACGGTTCCATCCACTCATCCACTCGGGTCTGCCAAACGGCAACGCGTTTTCAATCATAGCGCTGAAAACTTGACTGTACGGATTTCACGGTGGAGCAGTGTTACGCTATTATTTTTAAACGGGAGTTGCAACAAACCTTTTGAGCTGGCAGGGTGACAGCTCTTCCTGCAGAACAGCTGCTCTCTTCTGCAAGGAGACCACCTGCGGGGCCGCAAGTGGGAACAATGGAGACAACGAGTGGCGAATAAAATATTCAATAAACGCACGACAACTAGAGGTCGCTCGCCCGGGTGCAGACGCACTCCGGCGTGGGAGACGGCGTGCCGTGGGTCTGGTTGAAGAGGCTCTCATTAAAGGACGGGGGGTGGGTGGGGGTGGGGGGAATATTGTTTTTTTTTTGGGGGGGGGGGGGGGGAGGACCACACGAGTTTCTTCGCGATGAGAAAAAAAATTAAACGGAGAAACGGAATTTGCGCTGTAAAATGACGGAGCAGCGTGCGCCGCGGCGCAGACGCTGTCGAGTCAGCGAGTTGTGTTGCACGTCTGTATGTTGCACTTCTTTCGCACCGTACGTGCAAATCGGATGCGCGAGGGAAGGACGGCAAACTAAAATCTCGGGACAACCAAAACGGGAATCTCTCGGCCCTCTACTCGCGCTCTCCTCTGTAGAAGGTTAACTCCCCGACACATCAGGCCCGCTGTACAGCGTTCCCTCGTCCATAATAGAGGGTTTTTTTTGGGGGGGTCAGAGCGTGGTACAATTCGTCACGAGTACAGCACGCCGGTTGTGTGTTGGAGAGGCAAGCCACAGCGTTTACAATCTGAGTACCGTGACGTTTCGCCAGTAATTACAACCAGCTTCATCAGGCGACGGCCAGATTCGTGGAGAAGTCCACCTGTTTCGTTCCTTACATAGAGGCGTAGATGTGGTGACCACGCTTCTGCGTTCTTGTGCAAAGTGACGGGGGGGATTACTGAGTCAACGTACATTATGCATGCGCATTATGCGAGCCCTTTGATCTTGTCTTCCTGTCCATTGTGTGTATTAAAATAGCCGTGCCAACCGTACCAGTGACGAATTGGCCACGTTCTCTTTACGTGACAACCCTTACTAGTCGGCTGTGTCGGGTGGTGGCGGGTTTTAACGACACATTTATTTATTTATGCGATCTAACCCCCCAAAAAAACTATTTATGGATGATGTTAGTCGCGAAAACCTCCTACGTTCCGGAGATGCTCATGAAGAGCAAATTTTGCGGGTACGATATTGGCATTTTTCATGAAATACCTTAAATAAATACGTAAATAAGCTGTTAAATACATGAAAAGTATCATAACACGAAAAATTGGTTGTAATCAACAATGTAAATACAAATAACTATTATCGTTTTAAATAAGTTCATAAATTAACCTACCTTAGATTATGATGATGCTATGCATCATAACTTTATCTCATCACATTATCTCATCACATTATCTCATCACCTTATCTCATCACTTTACCTCTCATCACATTATCTCATCACTTTATCTCATCACATTATCTCATCACATTACCTCATCACTTTACCTAATCACCTTATCTCATCACCTTATCTCATCACCTTATCTCATCACCTTATCTCATCACCTTATCTCATCACATTATCTCATCACATTATCTCATCACATTATCTCATCACCTTATCTCATCACATTATCTCATCACATTATCTCATCACATTATCTCATCACATTATCTCATCACATTATCTCATCACATTATCTCATCACATTATCTCATCACATTATCTCATCACATTATCTCATCACATTATCTCAACACATTATCTCATCACCTTATCTCATCACATTATCTCATCACCTTATCTCATCACATTATCTCATCACATTATCTCATCACCTTATCTCATCACCTTATCTCATCACATTATCTCATCACCTTATCTCATCACTTTACCTCTCATCACCTTATCTCATCACATTATCTCATCACATTATCTCATCACATTATCTCATCACATTATCTCATCACCTTATCTCATCACTTTACCTCTCATCACCTTATCTCATCACATTATCTCATCACCTTATCTCTCATCACATTATCTCATCACCTTATCTCATCACCTTATCTCATCACATTATCTCATCATTTTATCTCATCACATTATCTCATCACCTTATCTCATCACTTTACCTCTCATCACCTTATCTCATCACATTATCTCATCACCTTATCTCATCACTTTACCTCATCACTTTCTCTCGATGCAGTCGTGTAGCGTTCCGGATGCGATTCGCGGAGAGCAAGTTCGTGAAAAACGAGGGAATACTGCATTCGTTGTTTTGTCTGTTTGGAGGCGGTGTAAATGACGAACGTGTTCAGCTGATGTGCGTTTTGTGTATTTATTGAACCGATTTTGCGAGAGACCACTTAGGTAAAAATTTTGATTTAAAGCTTTCGTGACTGCAGTAATTCATATTCTTAGTTCTTTCGGTAAAGTCACGTTGAAGGGAAACAATAAAATAATAAAAAATATATAAAACTATAAAAAAATTCTCACGACGTTTCGACCATAACACAAACGGTCGTCATCAGGTGTGTCGGTTTATTATTTTATTGTTTCCCTTCAACGTGACTTTACCGAAATAACTAAGAATACCACTTAGGTATATATATATTTTTTTGAAAAAGCAGACCTTGGTGAGATCACCTAGAGAGACGGTTACAATCATTAATACTCCAGACATTCTTAAACCATGGATATGACACCAGTGTGCAATGCCCCGCGTACAAACCACGTGAGCAAATGAGAGCAGCGGTCCGCAGACGCCTTGCAACACCAAGTGAGAATCTGAGACGCGGAGGGCGATCCCCAAAACGCTTAACGACGCCGCTTGTTTTGTAATGCTTCACCTTGTACGGCGAACCTCTACGATGCTTCAGTAATGTATTTGCGAAATGGGCAAAGCTTCGTTTGTCCTGACAGTGAACTGGCACCTGAGCATCATTTGAAGACCTCTTATTTTAAATAATACAAAGTGTGTCCGCCCCATTTACAGGCCGGCATCTCGCATCACTTACATTTTCGGGTACAGCTCCCAGGTGATACTTAGGAAACGAGTGTAAGCTGTGCATTGCCGATTGTTTAATTACATAGCTCTCTTTAGGAGGGAATACTCGAAACGGAGCACTTTGCAGTTGATTAATTCTATGAAGTAGCTGAACATGATTTCTGAGCATTCCAAAAACCTCTCTAATGCAGTTAAGTCATGTAAAGTCCTGCTTAAGCACAACGGGTTACTAGGAGAACGCTGTAGCGCTATCAAACCAGGTGGCTCATCGGTTAAAGCACTTGACTCACAATCACAAGGTCGCAAGTTCAAATCATGGTCGCTTAATGAAATTAGTACCACTCTGCGGGAAGCCAAAATTGTTTGTCCTGTGGAAAAAGTGACATCTGCTGCCCTGGGAATGCGGAATTGCCACCACTGGCTCAGGGCCAATTCAGATAACACAGACGAACGCTGCTTCATTGATAGCTTCAATCGGCCGAAAAAAAATGTTGTTCCTTGACTTTGGCAGGAATGCGTTCCGTAAAATTCTCAAGTAACATGTCGTTGGCCACGAGGCCTACTAAAGTTTACGCATCACAGCAAATGTGTTGGATGCACAGTGGAGTTCCTTGTTGTCTGTTAGCGCTGTGGCATGGCTCTGCCAACAAAGCGAGACCCCAACTCGTCGAATGTAAACAACACGTCTGAACCGGTCCTTCTTAGCAATTCCCACTTAAAATACTTTAACACCAAAAACCAGGAACAATTAAATTAATGAAGGGCAACACGCAAAAACCCACTCGAAATGAAAGGAAGCGACACCGTCATAAAACGTTACATTCATAAATGAGGGACACATAGGTACCGAGATGTAAATAAATAATCGTCACAGTCAAAACAGAGTGTCTCCCTCCGTTTTAGGCACGTAGGGGCGGCAATCATCTCTGTCGGTGTCCCTGCGCCAGTTGGGTAAATTCCACATTCTCATTCCGAGGGCTCGTCGCCCCAGAGATCAACTTGCTGTTGACTCGCCGCAACTGGAATTTGAACTCGGCCGCTGTTTGATCGCGAGTCAATCGCTCCAATAACAATGCCACTCGGTCGGAAAACCAGCGACGCGTACACTGTATGTGTGGGTCATTTCGGCATGAATGGGTTAAACATGACGTCTTGCCGTTAAAGCAAAGTTGTGAAACCAAAGTCTTGGAATGCAGGAAGGCGATCGATGAACACATCTGTGACACTTAACACTGCCCGTCCTTGGAGCTGACCTTTGCACCATAAACAGCGAGGTATGCGGCAGGCGTAGAGCGAGTGAGAGGCGACAGAGTGTAAAAAAAAACAGAACCTTGGCTCACAATTTGTTATAAAAAAAATAAACTAGGATAAAGACCCCCCCCCCCCCTCCTCTTATAGCCTGCATAAAATGTTGGGGCAAGTTCTGTCAGCGAGCACCTATTCAGGCCAGAACAGCACATAAGTGGGCGGTGTGGCTAACAGAACATCTTTGTCTCCCCGGTACTGATGATTACACACCGCACCAGGCACTCGCATAAGGCAGAATCAACCTATGGGAGGCACAGAACAAGTTTATGATTTTTGACACCGATTTCGGCCGATGCCAAGAACCGAACCAAAGTGGCCAGCTTTCCAGCACAGTACGTTCACCACTACCCCAAGCCCCTCTCCCTCTTAACGCACACGCGCACCAGCAAAAGCAGCAGCGGCGGCAGGCTCGCGGTGCGTAAAGTATAACCTAACTGTGCCGCGCACGCGGTGCCAAAAAAAAAAAAACGAGCAGCTCGCGCTTAATATTAATCCACCGCTCTCTGCCAGGAGAGGAATGTTTCAGAAGCCCCTGCCAGCCGCTTGGCAACTCCAACAAAGCGCCGCGTGCCGCCTGGAGGGCGGGGACCGCCGTGCGGGGCTTTTCATCTGCTGCCAGCGCCGCCCGCTCTCTCGCTCCCTTCGCTCGCGTGGGCCGGGGCCCGACATCCCCGTGCCTCACGCCGGGGCCACTGGGTTGGGTTCGGCAGTTGTTGGCGGCGGTGGGGGGGTGGGTGGTTTTGGATGGGTGGATGGATGGATGGAGAGGGGCGGGGGAAGGCGATGGGGAGATGTCAAAACCCAGGAGCGGGGTTTTGGCGGGCGCCGCTCGCGCATCTGCAGTCCGCCGCTCGCTCGGGCACGCGCAGGTGCGTCGGTAAGCAGGGCTGGGAGGCTAGGAATAGCGGTGGGATCACCATATGCTCTTGGGCAGGTGGCTCGAGTTGTCACCTGTGCGACGGTCACCTGCCCGCTGGTAATTAAGTGCAAAATGTTGCGGTGGTCTGTGGCGAGTTACCTCCCAACTATGTGTAATTGGGTGTAATTATATGTTCCTTATACAGCGTATTAAATAATGTTGGGAAAGTTACACCTCCCATTTGTGAAGGCTGCCAACCTTTCAGCTACCTGTCCAGATTTATTTGTTTTTTTTTTGAGACAGCCAGGGGGGGGGGTTTACCAAATGCTGGACAGGCGGTAAAAAAAAGGTTTGGCAATGAAATATGAAGTGTGGAAACTTCACATGCACTACTGTGGGATGTTTTTAACACCGCCAATGCTGTTAGAAAATTCGTTTCTAAAGGTGGGAATGAAATATAAAACTAATGGCATATCCCACATTTTTCATCTTATTTTCAGCAAATTTTTACCATCCCTCGCGTGAGTTAAATTCCTGGCCAAAGGCTAACATAGGTGTCAAGTTATAGTTTAACCGCTCCTGAGCACCCTGTCGCCAATTGACACTTACCGGCGTGGTGAAGTATGGTAAAAAAAAAACCCCGTGACTGCCTTGTGGAGGCCACGATCCAGCAGTGGATTGACAAAGGACTGTGGATTATTGTTTACATGATCCTGACCTCAGGTGCTGGCAACTTACTCCTGGAATACGGGACTGTCACATAAGAGAACCATTTCATATATTTGGACACGTGAAAGAACTACCACACTTATTTTAGAAGTCCACGCGTGCCTACTTTATTTTTCTCTAATGACTGGCAGGGCCCATGCATTCGCGCTGATACACAGCCGGGGTCTAGCGTGAGATCCACGGCTGGGGTGAAGGATGGGTGGGGGGCGAGATGTCAGCGCGCCGCACGAACTCGTCTCAACGCTGTGCGGCGGTAACGTCACCGCCGTTCGCTTGCCTGCCCGTGCACCAGCCAGCCAGCCAGCCAGCGAAACTTTTTTCAAAAATTATATGGTATGAATCTCGACGGGATCTCACTTGGTTAAATTAAGGACTTGGATGGTGTAACTTTAATTCATGTTGAGAGTTTTGTTTTTGTGCTAATTTCCTGGAGATTGTGGGATAATGTTGTAGGGGACTAAGATTTGTGTGAAACTGCGGTGTGTCTGCACAGTTGTGTGTCTGCAAGGAGATGGCTATGTACATGCTTGTGCATGTGTATGAACATGTGGGGAGTGGTGGTACAGTGGTTAGCACGCTGTGCCACGAACTCAGCGACCCCAATGACATTCCCGCTCACGTCCATTAACAGTGATAATTAGTCAAATTCTTCCAGGGCCTACCCTAGGTTGACGAAGCCTTAAATTAATACTTGATGTGGAAGACAAATGCGGCCGGGCGTGGTGCTGGCCACCCCCACCCCCCACCCCCATGTCCTCGCGAACAGCACTTGGCACGATAATCAGTTGATGGCTATATGGGAGATCTTTGTATGTGTGTGTGTGTGAGAGTGCAGATGAAGCACAGGGCTTCTCAATTTTGTAAGAAGCGCTATTAGGTGTTTGGTCCTCGTCTGATGACACCCATCTCTGGGGTTTAAGGGTGGCGGCTGGGATAGGACAGCTGGGCAGAGGTCGCCCATTTTGAGATGCGCCAACACGAGCAACGAGGGAGTTTGGAGACGGTGGAATCCAACATCAGCACGTGCAAACTCGCTTCAAATAAAAAATAAGTACGCTTCGCACGTGAGGTTTTCGCCAAACGCGTAAATGAATGCGTAAGGATGAACAATTCCGGCGCGCGAGCTTGTACCTGCTACCGTGCTGGGTGACATCCCGCTGGGCTTAAACGCTTCGTTGCATGCGCGGCGATGGTTCGGGGTTGGTGACCGCTGTTTTTCCCGGTAAGATTAACGCGTAAACAACACGCACTAAAGCAGCGGTTCACAAACTTTGCTCAAATCGTGTATCACACATTAGGAAGCCACTGGAGCTATGCTTTTAAATCTAGATTTAAAAGCAATTTATTTCGAACTGCTTTTTTGTTGTCCTTCCCCCGCACCTCCGATCAGCACGGTTGGCTATGTATAGTGCGAAAGAAGTTCAACATACATGTATATATGAAATGTATGCAATTTTATGTACCGCCAGCTAATTTTTAATATAACCCCCACTAAAGAATTTGTACTGTACAATAATATATAAAAAAAAAAACATTGTATCAGAATTACATGCAGAAGCACCTACTGATGCATACGTACAGCAGGGACAAATGTTTACTGAATACATTATGTGTCGTCACACTGATTGCTCAGAAAGTCACCATGGCTTCAAGATTAATAACATTCAGTATTATGCCAATGTAACAGGAAGACGGTATGTTAAAATTAGTATGGGCAAGTAACATGTTAATTGTAATATTAATAAGTTCCAGCTCTTGACCACTTCACTACCGGATAAAGGCCACACCCCCCATGCCGTGTTAATCATGGGAGTTGTTTGACCATACTTCTCTATGCTGGTCGGTGCAGGTTGGATGAAGGGAGGCCAAGGATCGGTTGAGATACCGATGTTAGCCGCGGCTAGGAATCTGACTCAGGTCACTGGCCTATCGCTCCATATGAAGTCATGGGTCTTCTCGACCAGAGCTAAGCCCTCCCTTCTCTTTGCTTACGAAACGTAGCCCCCCCCTTTAAAGGAACACCTGCACTGTTTTGAAATATTCAGGCTGGCCTACCTACGATCCACCCAGGGTTTAAAGAAACTGGATTGTGTGAGGAGCTCACAGATCCTTGATATGTCTGAACATATTCCCATCAGTCAGTTCCTCCAGCAGGCGAGGCTGCGTTGGCTAGGTCATGTAGCCCGCATGCCCAGCCACCGCAGGCCCAAGCAGCTTCTGTTTGGCAGGATAGAGGGGGCTAAACGTGCACGTCACGGGTTATAGAAAGATGAGCGGATGCGCTATGGGAAAGATGCAGACGACTGGTATCAGCGGTATCAAGATCGGCCTCTGTCGAGGAGGCACGTGAAGGATACTACTGAGTAGTTAGAGTCAGGTGCCGTCCAACAACAGGATAGGGCACAGAGTGATGCTCACAACAACAAGTGAAGCACTGGGCGGCTGAAACGCACAACAAGAGAAGGCACAGTGGGGAGCACAGGTGATGCAGTGCATGTGTTCATATGCGTTTGTCCATGTGTGTTTTGGAGTGCTGGTGTAGCGTGTTAGCGCACTGCGCTGCAAATCCAATGTCTCAAATTCGATTCACGGTCACGACTAAACATTAAGTATCCGGTGCACTGTGTAAACATCAGCACTGGGGCGACAAACGTGGCCTGGCGTGGTGCTGGTCACCCATTTCTTCATGTGCCGTGCCGGCCTTCGCTAACGGCTTCCCCCAACAATCGGTGAAAGCTAAACTATGGATCTTTGTCTTTGTTGCTGTGGGGGGAACAGTAGTGCATTGCGCTACAAATCCAGCAACCCAAGTTTGATTATTGTTTACAATCAACATCAGTGATAAATATCTGAACTGGTCCAGGGCCTCCCCCCAAGCTGAGCACCATAGTGCAGCGGTGTGTAAACATCACCGCTGGGGAGACAAAGACGGCCAGGCACGCCGCGGGCTGCACCACCCGCTCGTATGCCGTGTCGGTCTTCACAAGTGCTCGCTCAAGGCACTTCCCCCAACAGTCCATGGAGGCCATACGGGAGATCTTTGTCTCTTTTTTCGTCAGTGTGTGGGTTGAGACACACACCTGCGACTTGAGAGATGAGATGGTGTCCTCCAGTTCCTGCCGCAGGCTGGCGGGCATGAGTCCTTTCATCCTGCCCTCATGCTCCTGACGCAAATGTGTCATCTTTGATCCAGGGTGGGATGAGAGAAAGAGAGAGACGGACATTGTCGTGGTCTGTAGTCCCATAATATTAGCACAATTACCACCACCGATAACCATAACTATCATCGTTATCATAATTATTACATTATTACGAAGTGTTACGATATCACAATATTATCATTACCCAGTGGAAAATTAACCGTGTAGCTGGATTTTTTTTTTTAAAGAAATAATCATGGCGAGAGAGTAAATAAACTTCCGCAACAAAATAATGCATTCTGAAAGATTCTCCAGAGGTAGGGTGTCTTTTTAAAATGAGATACGTTGTCTCAGCAGATTTCCACCGGGTTACAATAATTACATAAGTGAGGGAATAAGACATGACTACATCAAAAGCAAACCCCCAAGTTTTTTGAGTCGCGACAGATCACTATTAGTGGAACCGCGAGCGGCTTCTGGCAGCCAAAGACGCGATGTATTCGGCCAATGTATTACATTGCAATGCCTGTGAATCCCACGCGATGTATTGGGCCAATGTATTACATTGCAATGCCTGTGAATCCCACGAATGCCTTCAAAACAATATCCGGAAGCGGACGATGAGTGCTGGATACAGTCACATTTGCCAATGTGATTCGTAACTTTTGATCCTTACGCGTGTATCGATAGTTCAATGCCAATGTGCCATTTTATTGAGGGACTACTACCGTGTGGGTGTTTTCTTGGTGTGGTCTGGGTTTTGTTGTTGTTTTTGCTGCCTTGCCCAAGCGTAATAAATCAGACTTTTTTTCGTGTGACTTGCTTCCCATTGTCGCTATTTTACAATCATATCCTTTTTCGTATTGTTTTCTTGTGTAACTTGCTGACCCACCCATCCTGGACGTCTGTGATAAAAAGAGCTTCATAGCTCATTGGATTCCTCCGGCAGTCTAAATTAAGATTCTGATTCTGCCTCTCCGATGTGTTTACGAGTCGCACCGCGTGTTGTTTAGCGTGACATCCGGCATTTCGCCCATCAACGTGTCGGGAGGCTTTTTCGGGAACTTCATCGTTCCCGTATATACATATATATATCCAGGTCCTGAATAAGCTCCCAGCGCCACGTGGAGCATAATGCTAGACATCAAACTGAACAATACAAAGCAGAAAACACATCAGACAGCGACACCGCACAACTGCGAAAACCTGCGTAATCCCATAAACGGCTGGAAAAACACAGCTGTGAGACAAGGGAAGGAACTAACTGTTGTAAGGGCCCTAGGTGTGGTTGCCAATTGTGGTGGCACACACACACACAGTTGAAAGACAGCAATTTGGAGGTGGGAGTCGGTGGATTATGCTGAGTTTGGGTATTTGAGGTGAGCGCCTGTAACAGCAGGAAATTTCCTCTAGGAGGAAGGCAGCAGAGAAAATAGTTTCCTGACCTGGTGTGATATGTGAACATTAGCGCGGTGAAAGGTGACCGGACATGATACTCGTCATTATACCCTCCTGAGTCATATTGTAGACTTAATGGGAACTTGCAATCAACATTCGTCCTATGGTCAATACGGGTGAGTGAAGATCTTTCTCTCCCTAGCTATGGGAATGTACAAATATGGAGGCAAAATCACACAACCATCAAGCATGAGTACCTGGAGGTTTATTTATTTCCTATACAGGATACTATAATTTGAACCCGTGATCTCATACGTGCAGGCAGTTAGCATTTGTGCTCTCATTGCACCCGGTCACCTCTCAGCTAGAGCCAGCGTGCGCAATACACATGGTGACATCTGTGCCTCAAGCGGAGCCCCATCACCAATGTAGTAAACAAGAAACCTTTACTCGTGCACTAAAGCATTGCTGAGCCTCGTGAAGAGTCAGGCTTGACCCATATGACCAATTCCCCTCATGGAGTATTGTTGGCAAATGAGAAATACATAAAGAATGCCAGGAGAAAACTTCAAGCAAATGCGGAGATCGCACTCAAATATGTACGTCGGTAAGCTGCTTGCTGTACTGTATTCCACAGGCCACCTCACTTACGTTGCTGGTTGAGTGCCTCGTGCACGATTATCTCCGAACACCACGGAGACCAACGCCTGACACTCACCGAGTGCCGTGGGCCCGTGCCGAGCCACTTTGATTGGAGAGCTTAGCCTCACAATAAAAAAAGTCGCAAGTTCAAATTCCAGCCTGGAGTCGACTCAACCTGTCATCATCCCTCTTGGGGTTTTAACACGAGTAGCACTTTGTGAGAGTCACCAGTGATCATCCTAAGACTTGACCAAGGCCCTGCCATGCGAATGTGGAAACAACACCACTGGTTTAGGACACACCAAATTGAAACGAGCACAGCCGCATTGCACTAGGGGCATAATTAATCGTCCCTCTCTCACAATTCTACGAGTTATCACAAGTCAATGTTGTAAATCACATACAACACGAACGAATAAAAACATTGGTTCTTACTTATGCAATGTAACAAGCAATTTCACCTTAGTTTTTTTCCACTTTTTTTGTTCAGAGTTATGTCACTGATGGCTTCATTTCCCTGTACAATTTCGAAATTGAACTTACGATTTAAACCAGAACACCCTTTTCTGTGTGTTATCAATGGATTGTTTTCTATCTCCTGTAGAAACAAGAGTTGACTCACTCCAGTAAGACTCACACGCTTCAGATGTGATGCTTTTTATCGTACAATCGACAATTGCTCCTCATCGCTTCATCGGTGAACTGTCACAACCCACTCAGCATACTTGAAAGGGGAGACAATTTAACGTTTCTTAAAAAAAAAATAGGCGTGGGCCCCTTATTGATAATAAAACAACACGTATGCAAAAAATACCAGCATTTCCATTTAGCGAAACCGCCGTACATTATGGTGCCCCCTTGAATGACGCAAACGCAGGCCGCGTACGTGCTTGGCGCTAACGACACACACACACACACACGTGTGGTGGCGGCGGAACACCGTGTCTATGTGTAACTCGAGCATCTCAATGCCAGCACGAGATTGTGTACGCGCGCGCGCGCGCGTGCACATCGACGGGCCAAGAGACGCCGTATCGCAGGGGATCAAATATCACGACATCACGAAAACTTCGGCTGTTTCCAGTTTTTTTTTTCATGCGCTTCCTTCAATACTATTTATTTATTTTGTCGCCCAGGTGCAAACCCGTGATGATTTAATTCAGCCTGCTTGTTCACGTTCTGTTGGTTCTGTTGGTTCGAAATTCGAGATGCGGCATTGTGATGATTGACGGCGGTCCTTTAGACTAAAATGATATTTCCACGGCAGGCTGGCCACATTTAATGCGAGACAAATATCAATGATGCGTATTTTTTTTTGAGTAAGCAGTTGAGTCTGCAGAGAAGGAAATTTAAATTGATTGCCTCTGACCAAATCACCCTCAATGTGTTCCATCTTGTCGGATCTTGGATGCTAAGCGTGATTGAAAGTAGTTCATAGTTAGTTCATAGTTCATTTATTTGGTATAGCCCTGTGAGCCATTCGGCTCTTGGATCGGGTGCAACCGCAACAAACAAAAAACATGAACAAGAAAACATCTTAAAGTGATTATGTGACTTGGATAGGTGAATTCCTGGGTCTACCAGGTGTTTTACGCTTGGGCTGTAAGGAGGCTAGGAGATGGCAGTAGAGCAATGGATTCCAACATCTATCTGAGTGAAGCTTTATAAGCGTAGGGTTTGTGCAGGTAAACCAGTTTCCTCCCACATGCAAAACACCCAAAATGATGTTGACCAAACATCTCAATGCTGGAACCTCCTGATAACACTATGTAACACAATTTTTGTTCCTGGGTAGTAAGTGTTATTTCCTAATTGCTTGTGCCTAAAAAGTATACAAAATGGCTATTATTTCCCACAAACTTTGCTTTTGTGACCAGGACAGTGATATTTCGAAATTGACCTATTTTCAGTGAGAAAACAGGCGAATTTGTGTCTTTTCATTCAGTCAGAAAAAGACAACATATGAATCAAAATGAACATGTATTTATACTAAAATAATACATAATTAGCTACAAAAGATGTAGAAGTGAGTAGTTTTTAGAGATTTATGATTATACTGTAAATCACTTTCACGAATCAGCCCCCAAATGTAGTCTCCCATCATGTTCTCGTTATACTGTCCTTGGTAGCGGCGTTCAAAGCCCAGCATATCCTGGTGGAAGCGCTCGCCTTGCTCCTCCGAGTACGCTCCCATGTTCTCCTTGAATTTATCAAGATGAGCATCAGGGATATGGACTTTGAGGGACATCCTACAGCCCATTGTGCCGTAGTTCTTCATCAGTCTCAACCAGCTCCACGTAGTTTTCGACCTTGTGATTGCCCAGGAAGCCACGAACCACTGCGACAAAGCTGTTCCAAGCCGCTTTCTCCTTACAAGTGAGCTCCTTGGGGAATTCATTGCACTTCAGGATCTTCTTTATCTGTGGTCCGACGAAGACACCGGCTTTGATCTATGCCTCAGACAGCTTAGGGAAGAAGTCTTGAAGGTACTTGAAGGCTGCCAACTCCTTATCTACAGCTCTCACAATTTGATGTGCAGTGGTGGCATCAGCACCTTCCGGAGGTCCACCAGTGGCTCCCACTTGACGTTGTTCCTCCCCACAGAGAACTCGGTCCGCTGTGGCCAGTCCCGCCTGTGGTAGTGCGCCTTGGTGTCCCTACTGTCCCAAAGGCAAATATAGCAGGGAAACTTGGTAAAACCGCCTTGGAGACCCATCAGGAATGCCACCATTTTCAAGTCTCCGATGACCTCCCAGCCATACTCATCATACTTCAAGGCATACAGCAAGGTCTTGATGCTGTTGTAATCCTCTCCTCTTTGAGGTATACTTAGTGAGCCAGTGGAAGAGATGGGTACTTGCTACCATTATGGAGCAGCACAACTTTGAGGCTCCTGGATGAGCTGTCAATGAAGAGGCGCTACTCATTCTGGTTACAGGCGATTCCGATTGCCTCGAACAGACTGGTCACATTGTGGCAGAAGCAGAGCCCATCTTGATAGG